ACATACCTACGAAACCTAATCCTCGCAGTTTATTTGGAGACTGTCGCTAAGAAGCTTTATGTTTTAAAGCTCCAGTTAATGTTATTTATGTGAGAATGTGTATGGCGAAGCAACGGAGAAAGATGTAAACAGAATAAACAGATGAGATACTCAGCGACCTACTCGGATGGCAACGGATGCATCACAATCGCACCTCTAGGCCTGTTGTTGACTAGAACAAGGTTTATGGAGTGACAAGGAATATTTAACGTGTTACATGCTGCTAATTTTGGAAGAAACCTCAAGAAGAACACAATTATAAGGAGTCTTATCTGTTCATTTACTCGTCTGGCGGTCAGATGCTGAAGTGTTTCTAAGCGGATAATGACTTCAGGCACGCCGATTGTAAGTTTAAAATATATTCAAAATTTAATCCCCTGACATTCGGTTCAATGTAGCGTGTACTTGATTATGCCAGCTGTCTACAACAGTTTTTGAGTAAAAACTGAGCTCCGGTTACTCCATCGTTTGATTCAGTCTGGCACAAACGAAACTGGCAGCCTCGTAATTTGCGCACATTAGTCGACCCCAAACCTACTGGAAATAATAGTAATATCCGTTTGTTACTACCCGACTAACAGCTGTTATCTTACCTCCGGGCTCAGACCTCAATGGTGCAGTGCCTTTTTTGGCAAAACAGGCAGGAAGGCAATTCTTCATGGTATAACCATGCCAGAAAGTCCAACGGGGAACAGCTCGATGGAGAACGGTAAGTCCTCTTGCTGCATGTAATCCTATTTTAGGCGGCTTGGAATTAAAATAATACCCTCCTCTAACAGACGATAAGCTGTTGTAAGGCACCTTCCTTCTACCCTTTGTGATGTTTATACCTTTCTTTTGCTTTCATTATAACATTCATATTTCATTAATTGTATAAAAGTTTTTGACTGAGTACGCAGAGACAACAAAATCGTGCATGTTGTGCAAGTATAAACGAAAAAAGCGGCCACTTGAGTTGACTCTCTCTTGCCGTGCTTACAATGGTATTTCGTGAGTTTCGTATGCTATGGTAGCAAAACCTGACCCATACCAGATGTACCAAACGCGACAATCTAAATAGGCACCTGCTCCACTTTTCGAGCAGACTCGAACCGCGGGATGGCAGGTGGAAATGTCTTATACCTGCTTGCGGTCACGCCCATCACAATGGTCCTCTGCGACACCACTCTGGTACTTTTTTATGCATGCGAATTCAAACCACACTGTGTGAGCAATTTTCCTGGTCTCTGTGTGGTCTACCATTGCTCATCAAGTACACTGGAAGATGACCAGTTCCTCACACAAACGATTGAGCAACGCCCTTCTAGCTACCACTACTTGCTTTTCTTTTGACGATGCCCTCACACACTCGTGTCCTTACTACAACTGTGAACGAACTCTTCAACTGGTATCAGCCGTCGCCCGGATACACCATTCTAACCCGCTGAAATTTCCGTTTCGGATATAAACATTTTGTTGAATTACATTTTAATCCCCTCGGTCAGTTATTTTCTGTGTAGTTCACGTTCCGTCTTGTGCGTTAGCATCTAAATTCCCCCACCAAGGAACTTGCTCCATACCCCACTCAAGCAGTGGCACTAGTGAGTCTTTGAAGTTTCAGTGTACACTATGACTATAAAGTTCCCGCCACCATTTATCTGTATTATTCATTCCTCTACATCATCATCCTCACTTTTGCTTTTTGCGACCATGGCCATAAGCCCAACACCCCAAGACCAAAAAGGTCTCATCTTTGGTTTAAGAGTTTAATTCACATTGACCACCCAGATCGTGACAATCCAGCTACCGCACCAGATTCGTTGTTCTGGTTCAGCACTTTTCGCAATTTGAAGGTTCGAATCACGCACCAAGCAGAATGACTCTTTTCCACTCCCTCTCATTCTGCTTCTGCCGGCCACTTTCGGACCTTAATGATCTGATCTTGTCTTAGCTTGATGTTCCCCCCACCCAAAGCATGAAGTAGGTTGTTAACTGTCTTTTTTCCCATGCCAGTTTAGGCGTGATCAGGTTTACATGGGATATCGCACACTACATAACACTGTCCTTTTTGTGCAATCCCCGAAATCCCCCAGTCATGCTCCATCCTGGCTGCAACCGTATGATCTTGCCAGACAGTATGTCACCCACCAGCTGGGAATAAACGCTATTACTATTATTATTATCAGTGGCCTCCCAAGGTTCCCTTTATAAAGCTTCGGTGTACTTGGTCCGGTGAATGTTTCGCATCGGCGCTATCTGAAGTCGTTCAGGAGGGCGTGAAGACTCAACATCCCTCTGCACCCACAGGATGATGCTTATGACGACTACCATCTCTGCTGGATCTGGTTATCACCAACGGAAGAAACTTTGCTGGTCAAGTGTTAATCAAAGCCGCATTGGGACATAGTGTCTACGAGTGCTGATCATTGATTTTATCGACTACTAGATCAGAGGCCTAGATCCTCGAAAGTGATTTCCAAACTTCTGACACACAGACTTCTCAGAAATGTGTGGCTTCCTTGACCAACTTAAGCTTGGGCCAACCTCAGTGTAAGAGTTATCCTGGAACGTCGTCCAGAAGATTTGCAAGGCTAACGCGGTGCTCGTCCCAAAATGGCCAGTGCAATGTCGGATGGACCAAAGGCTATCTAAAAGCATCCGGCGACTTGTGGAAAAGAGGTCTTGACTCTTCTTTAAACAGGTGACTGCATGAGACAGAGGATGAGCTGGCACTCCTCGAAATACGGATCTGCTGTAGATTGGAAGTCCTAAAGTGGAACGTACAAAAGCAGGCAACAACAGTGGGCCTCGTCTGGAAAACCAAGTTGCGCTATTTAAAGTACACGGGACACTGCCGAACAAGTTAGCCGAAAACCTTCTCGTTGGGGTTTCGAAACGACGATCAAACGAGTAACAAAATAGTTGTAGTTAAATTTTATAGGGGAAAATACACAGGCCTGTATTCTGGCCAAATGACCTCATCGCATCCGGTGTTGTCGCTGCTTTGCTTGTCAACGGTTGCAAGACAAACTCCTTCAGCGCGCTGGAGCCAGACGAGCCACATCCAGGTACCTTGAAAGAAGCGCTGCTCACACGCTGCTTGCTCTGCTGCTGGCGCTTCGTCAGTCGATCGATAAAGGCAATCTTTCTTCTTACAGAAGTGGTGACCGATTATCGCCTGGCGGCTACAGATCTATTGGTCCCACTAGAGTACGGACGGGCGATGGAAGGCATTTTGAATCAGGCCATATTATATCTGCTTACTGCCAAAAACTTGATATCACCTGTTTAATACTGATTCCTCCAAACCACCCATGCATCTATTGGTCCCACTAGAGTACGGTACAGCGATGGAAGGCATTTTGAATCAGGCCATATTATATCTGCTTACTGCCAAAAACTTGATATCACCTGTTTAATACTGATTCCTCCAAACCACCCATGCGTGCCGAACATGCATGTACTCATGAACAGCCGAACCCATGCCAAGTACGAGGGACTCATACTGAATGGAATATTTTTCTACTTCTTAAAAGCATTCGATCAAGTGCTATACGATCCGCTGCCCCACAAACTCTACTGTTATGGGATTTGTGTGTTCCTATCGGACAGAACAATTTTATTGGAAGTAGGCTAGACTTGCTTTTCCCCGACACCGATCCCCAGTGCAATTCAACAAGGCTCTGTTTTGGGACCTCTCCTGTTTCTGATATTCATCAATGACCTACCAGATGCTCTTGTGAGTCCATGTCTAATTATTGCGGACAACTTAAAATCCTGTAGTTCAAATACCAGTGCCATCCGAGTGGACTTAGACGTTGCAGAGTGGTGGTCGTTGGACTGGTACCTTTCTTCTGAACGACGAAAAATGCTCTCATATGTCATTCGGAGGGGACCAAACGGACGCGTTTGTCGTGCATGGCGGGAACAGGCCCAAAGGAATCACGGGTATGGACACCGAAAAAGATTAGGTTATCTGGATCTTTTTATACACGTCCTCTTCGCAGAATCACGGGAAATCGGCTCAAAAGACATTTGCCATTCTACAGACTATTCGAAGCACCTCCATATTACTTGCATGGACTTCAAGCTACTGTATCTAAGACCGCCTCCTGAAAATGCAAACCAAGTTAATTAATCAGGATGCAAGAACGGGTTAGTCCTCATTAAGCGCGTCTAAAAGGCTACTAAGAAAAATCGTTGCCGGCCTTGAATCCGTGGATTATGGAATGTGTCGTGGAGCTTGTCCTCTTTCCCCTGGGTTGTCGTCGCCCCCGAAGAGACACAAGAAGTACTTATGCCCCGTTTGAACAAGGTTTGGTCAAAATGTTATTCACTGGTGACCCAGCTAACAAACTGAGGGACATTAAAGGAAGATTTTCAAGCTCAGAGTGCACGTCATTATCGGGCACCAGCCCTCTTCATTTCGGGTAGGTAGTGCGTGGAATAACCTTCCTCCGACGGTTTTTCACGCTGCACATATTGCCCGTTGAGACGCTTTTTAGGTGAATCCTCGTGCTGTCACGCCTACCACTTTGTGCTAGAAACTTCGAGAGTAGTATTACACCTTTTTACCTCGCATCTATCAGGTTAACAGAAGTCGCTGAATGGCAACAACAAACTCGGTCCGGAAGTTCGTCGAAATCCCCGACTCTGTGTATCTATCCGAGAATCCGTGGTTCCGTGAACAAGATGAGCAATAAACTAACGAGCCTGTATGAGATACTGACAACCTACTCATCTGCAAATACACCCGACCCTCTAAGTTTCTTAAAGCCGTGGCAAACCAGTGCATGAGATAAGATTTCCAGGTATGTCTTTTAGGTGGGACGAAACCTCCCTCCAGCAAGAAATGGAAGATATAACGCTCTCTTCAATACACTGTGCTAATCGGTCGACTTGTGAATCAGTGATTGTCACGTAGGCCCCTAATGAGCCTTGTGTATCTATCGGGCTGCTGACCTTGAAAATGAAGCGATGTGTGCGTTCGCACGCTGCCCTTGGCTGTGGGCGGGCGCATGGCGTCGTCGGTTTTACTGATTTGAGTCGCACACTCCATGCGTTAAGGAGGCTAACTTGTCTCTCGGAGATCTCCTTTATCCACTATATTCTATGAGCTTCACTGGAGCAAATGTGAAGCTGTCAACTTTGAATGGACATCTTATCTGTGGACTCTGTGGAGGGTACCTCATTGATGCGACCGTGTTGACAGAATGTGTCCACGTATTTTGTCGTAGCTGCATCGTCAAATACCTCACTGAGCACAAAGTGTGTCCTCTGTGTCAAAGCTTGATACAGGAGACGAGACCCGGCCATGCACTTCGACCTGATACTGTACTGCAACGTGTTGTGTATAAGCTTGTACCCGGTTTATTAAAGACCGAAATGCAACGGCTGACGGAGTTCTGCTCGTCAATGTCGGCCTCGGAAACAATGCAAAGTACACAGGCGTCTGAAAACGAATACTCTCTTGGGACATCCACGGGTGAGTTGGTTCCCTGTATTGTAGCTCCACTTCGGTGTCATTGACCGAGATAGTTGCGTTTTATTGGATGTGAGTGAGGGACAGTTTACTGTCTCTACAGGGATTCGTGTCGTCACAAATAGGATGGAATCTAGTAGTTTTTGATTGAAGACGTTTTTTTCTTCTTGCTGCTTTTGCCCGTAACGAGGCAATTAGAAAAGGATTTTTCGGTTGTACGACGGGCACTTCCTTCAAAGAATGTGTCCAACACCAGAAGCTGCGTTGGTTGAGACATGTGTTGTGTATGCCCACCCATCGTTTACCGAAGAGGGTTCTGTTTCCCATGCCAAATTCAGAGTGATTCAGGCAGAGAGGTGGCCAACCCTTGTTGCTGGCACGGGGTCCGAAAGACAACGTGAAATATTTGGGTGCTCTCGGTGCTGCTCGTTTTCCAGGTCCACGTGATCCTCACTGCACCTGGTCGGAGACGCTACAAGACATGGCTGCCAACCCACGTCAGTGGCGTTCTTGTTGTTAGTTTCTATCCAGATCGCTTGAGTGAGTGTGGAGGTATACGCACCTCGGAATGATTGTAGTAAGCTAGCACTAAGTCCCTTCCCCGTCCACCTTTATTCTTTTTCTAACAATAAGCCTTTCAAATAAATCATGGTTGTACGGCAGCGAAGCATCTGTGTTGAACACTGATGTCGTGCTGTCGATGATGATGTTGTCATGCCCCGTTATGCGTCCTTCCTGGTTCAACGTTAGCGTCCAACGGTTGCCTGAGCAGAAATAGCTCCGTTTCACTTCTGTTTCGATGTTCGGTGTAAGGCTGATCCTGTCTAAATTTGCGTGCTCTGGCAATACCCTAGCCTACCTACAACTAAAAACTGCTCACGTCGACCGTCCCGTGGTACCATTAGCCGGGTCGTCTTACTTGCTGCGTACAGTAAGGTGGGTAAGCGAAAACGTACTATCGCTGACGTATGCTTTCTTCCTCTTGTATGTATTCATTTTTCTCCTCACTCCGTTTCTAGTGACATCCCCGTAGACTCATTCTTAAGCACTGACAAGTACGTTCGCTACCCACTGCCGCTAGCTTGAAGATGTACGGCTGACTTGGTCACAACGGTCACAGACTTCTAAATCATCCTTCAAACTTCGACGCCCAGTTTATTTGGCAGCCTGTAATGTATTCTGAGACAGGCCGGACAGCAGACTGTTGTGGCATATACGCTGGACCTGTTTTCTATTGATATATGCTCTCCGTTTTAAACGAGAATCCAGGACCCCAGTACAGTTGTTAAGGTCACGTCCCCAGCTGTATCCTCGAGCTCGAGGCTGTGCACTTCTGATGATTGATCCGAAAATCGCTGCCTCTGATTCTGTTGGTGTTAGCATTGTTCTAAGTTACCGAGTTGAAATATCTCTGATGTGGTGGTTACCCGTCCCTTTTGTGCGGTTCGTTTGCCACGTCCGTTAGAGTATCCCGTATACGCACCGACGGTAGCTACCTGCTCATTGTATCTGCTTACACACATACTAGCAATCAAAGAGAGCTTTGCGACGCTTTTAGCTCCTGATTTCGGTGGGCTAAGCGGACAGATGTTGTAGTTGCCGCGGGTATGAATGTGCAAGAAGGTAGACTTAGCGCTGCTGAGGCCCAATGGCGTGGTCGTCTGACACTGGAATCGAAGCACGTAGACGGTGGTGAATGTCTGCCGCAGTTATATGTTACCAGACTGAAGTACTAACTTCCTAAACAACACCGGCCGCTAGGTCACATGGTGCTCCCCCCCCCCCCCCCCCCGCAAGCTAACCTTTAACGCAGACCACATCGCCATTAACGGTAGGTGGTGTGCGTCTATTACTGACAGTCGCTCGTTCTGGAACTTCTATGTATATATGGATCGCGCCTCGTCGCGCTTTTCAGGGCGCTCAAAATACGCACACACCGCACAGGGACTAAGAAGCTCTTGGATCCTGATTTGAAGCGAGTCTATCAGAACCGCGCACTGAAGTCCCGCTCGGACAAGATGTCTCCTGATGTTGATGACGCGGTGCCCACCAACAAATCAGTCCCGAATTCAAATAGACCACATCGTTCAGATGTAGCATCCTTTCGGTGCCTAGCTGACATGCTATCCACAACACCGAGGGTCGATCACTGCCTGACGCTTCTTGTGGAACACCAGCGTAGACTCCTACCGTGCAATTATGCGCTGCCATTTTTGATTGCGCTTTTCAGGTCTACGCAAAACGCGCCCACTTCGCTTAGCGACTGAGAAGCTAATGGACCCAGAAATCAAACGAAACTTTCAGAAACAGCCCCTCGAATGCAGGACGGTGAGATGTCGGATATTAACGGCGATTGGCAACCCATATCCAAAAGGCTACTCGGAGCTTGATCTTGCGTTTGTGGTACAACCCAGCCATTCTCGTCCTAACATTGGATCTCTGATTCGATTTGCTGAAGGCTCGGTGACAGATTCCTCCTGGACGCAATCACAACTCAACCCGACGCATCATCTGACCCCAGCTCAAACTGAGTGTCCTTGCAGACCACGAAGCTTGGTGGACCCAAAAGACTGAAGAAATGGAAAAGGCGAAAATGTTGTGAAAACCTACAGACTGTTCCACCTGATTCGTTCGACTGGTCCTCCAATTGGCAAACCTACCAGGGACTCTCTAATATCTGGCAGAGCGGAACGTCTGAACCGATGGGAACTACTTCGAAGAGCAATTCGATTGGCCACCTGATACATCCAATCCGGGCTGCCGGCCCTTAACAGAAATGAATGAATATGGAGTCCCCCTCAGCCTCAGAAGTATCCGAGTGTATATGTGTACACAAACGTCCTCGTGCTGTTGGCTACGACGGCCTGCCACCTGTCCTGTTTAAGGATAGTGGCGAATTCCTCAGTCAGTGCTGTCTAGCCTATTTGTGTCTATCTGGGAAAAACACCGTTCCAGATGACTTGCGTTGGTCGCTAGTAGTGCCCATTTTTGAAAGGAGCATTCACAGTGAATATGGTAACCACAGAGGTGTTAGTTTTATTCCCGTCGTAACAAAACTTGTTTCACTGATTCTTCATCGTCTTACTGTGGCACACGAATCCCTACTGCAAGTAATCATGCTACGAAGCGGTTTGGTGGTAAAGTTGTGCTGTCCTCTGCGACAGGGGTGTGAAGGCAGTAAGATGTTTCACCCAGGTGACTAGCCCATATTCATAGAGGCGGTGATGCTGCCTTTCAGGGAAGGACGGGCTAGAAAAGGTCGGCCCTGAAAACCTCACACTCGAATTGCCCAACATTTGATCGTCACCACCGCGCATCATTCAATACGGTCAAAATACATTTAAAGCCAAAGAGTCCGTTCTAAAGGCACGTGCTGCGCGAAGCCGCATCGGGAGTGAGTCATCATTATCACCGACAGCATGACATCAGTGTTAACACTGATGCTTTGCTACCGTTTGAGTGGAGTGAGACAGTAATGTCTTACCCCTTTCGCCTTCGGGTTAGGTCATCCCCCTGCAGTCAAGTAAGTCGGACTATTGAGTCACCGGCTCCGGGCTGGGTCCCCAGACAAAACCCTACTGTCCACTACCTCGTGAGTCAGACTTTTAAGTTAGAGGCTAGGGGCAGGGTATCCGAAAAAAACCGTACATCCTTCCACTGTCTTGCGGTCACACTTGTGTCAAAGGCTCAAGGTGGGATATCTCAAACAAAACTCCATCAGCCTGGATAACCGGAAATTATCATTTGCCCACACATTTCTATGGCAACCGATGTCCCTCCCCAACTCATTCCCACCATGCAAACGAACGTTGCTGTTGGGACCGTCCTGCAGAAAATTTGGAACGAAAACAGATTACCAGCCGAATGGAGCACCTCGACAGTCATCCCAGTTTTCAAAAAGGGGAGCAAGGGCGTCATGTGAAAACCATCGTGGTATCAGCATGGTATCCGTCGCATCTAAGGTGCTCTCTGGCATTATTTTGCACAGGCTGATAGGTTATCGGGAGAGATAAACTCTTAAGAATCAAGCTGGGTTGCGCCATGGTCGAGGATGCATCCACTGTATATTACCTTGAGACAAATTCTTGAACAGCGCCACTATTTCAGACATCCCACGTTGGTTGTTTTTATGGATTTGAAAGCTGCTTTTGATTCTATCGGTCGTCAGTAACTTAAGCAGTGTCTGGCGATCAAAGATGTCCATTCCAAATTTCTCTCCCTTATGAGGGCAAAGTAAGTTAACTCCTATGGGCGCGTACGAGTATACGGGGAGCTCTCACCGGAGTTCTCCACTTCCACTGGTGTAAGACAAGGTTGTCCTCTTTCCCCTTTCCTCTTCAACTTTATTATTGTTATACTGCTTGAAATTTATCTGCCTGTCTCTGAAATCTTGGGAGTCGAAATGCTCCCAGGACGTTCCCTCACATACATTGAGTATGCAGACAACATTGCTCTCCTTAGTTCAGATCCTTCCCAAATACAAACGGATTTTAAATACCCAAATAACTCTGCCGCACGGTTTGGCATTCGCTTCACACCTGCAAGTGTAAACTGCTGCTACGAGACTAGGTGGAATCAAGCCACAATGCTTTCAGGTGAGCTGTATAGGTTCCGGTGGACTGGCTGGAAATGAGATTACTTCTCGAATCAGGAAGGCCGGGGCAGCTTTTGCCAACCTCCGACACCTATGACACCGACGTTACTTTAGTTTGTCTGTCAAGTGAAGAGTTGAAACTGCGGTGTTACGATCCATACTGCTTTATGAATCAGAGACGTGGCCCATACGCGCAGGAGACGTATAGAATATTTCAGTGTTTCACCATCGACGTCTCCAAAGCATTGGTCAGATATGATGGGAATATCCTATTAGTAATGCTGACGTATGCCAGATGGTCTTAGGAAGAAGGAACTCTCCCGCGATAGATGAATTAATCACGCCTCGTAGGTTATGCTGGTTAGGAAATGTACTTTGCATGCCAGAAGACCGTCTGCCTCTCATATCT